GGGGGGAAAGTGAGGAGCTGATACCAAGGGCTCAAGTAGAAAACAAATGTTTTGAGAATGATGAGGGCAACAAATGTACAAATGTGCTTGACACAATGGAAGGATGTATAGACTGTGATATGATTTGTACAAGCCTCCAATAAAATGATTTTTTTTTAAAAAAGTCACCCCATGAAGACTTTTTTGTTATTGTTTTGTCACCCTAATGGCATTTCTTCCATCTGTTTACAAAACAGATTGTAGAACAAGTATAAAATAACAAATTCTATACATGACTTGTAATCATAATTTTGAATGCTAAGTTGATTAGGCCAGTTATTTAGTCAAATGCTAATATACTGTGAAGGTTTTTGTAGATGTGTTTACCTTAAATAAATCAGTTTTACTGATCAGTTTACCTTGAACAAAGTATAATACCTTTTATAATGGGGCTGGAATTAATTCCACAATTTGAAAGCTTTAGGAGTGAAAAAGGAGGTTTCTCTGAGAAGAAGAAAATCTGCCACTGCAGTGTCCACTCTTGCTAAGTTTTCAGCATGCCATACATATATCAGACTCACAGCTACAATATCAAATTCTGACTAAATTTTCAGCTGGATATGCTATCCTAGAAATGTATAGATATGAATCTGCTTGCCTTCACAATCACAAGAGTCAATTCCTTAAAATGAATTACACACTCACAAACATGTGTGTATGTGCTCAGGCACACACACAAGCACATGAACACACTCACAAACATATATCATGTTGATTATGCCTCTATGGAAAACTCTGACAGATACATGAGGGATAAAAAAATCCTTGGAGTAATGTGAAAGAGATTAAGCAAGCAGAGTTCTGAGAGAAAATATCAATTATTGTAAAATCATGCAAGAGTAGGTATGGTGTGAAGAATGACAATCTCAGAAAAGTATATCTGACTGCTTGCCTACAGTGAAAGCTCTGTGACAAATATGAATATGAATGCACTAGAGGTACATACTTCAGGTAATAAGAAAGGTAAAGTACTTAAAGTTTGAATGACTTGAAAAACTTTGTGTAAAGGTTTCCCAAACTACAGACTATAGTTGTGTTCAAAAGTCTCACCAGAAGAAAAGCATCAGAAGTCTGTTCTTGGACCATCTCAATTGCTTGAGCCAGATCTTCGTCACCTTCTGGAATGCTAAAATTATCATCTGGTATCTGAATCAAAAGGAAGGAAAGATAGGAATATCAATTGATTTTATTTCAAAATTGTTTATCTTCACAAGAGGAAGCAAAAGGTCAAAGAAAAACAAGGACACCAAGTCCCGCTAAGATCTATGATTAATGGGTAACAAGCAGGCAGCTTTCTGTCCCTGTAAACATCACTAATTTC